CACTCCGAATTAGGTGCATTCCTCTAAATATTCCTACCAATCGGACCAAGTTGAGAAAATAAGGTTAAACAACTTCTATACAACGAAAGGAGACTACGACCACACAAAACGCCACACCATCTTGGTCTTCATACCTTTAAACTATATTACATATATATATACATAGATATATTAGCCTTTTAAGTGCTAAAAGTATCCGCATTGAATTAAAGAAAACGTAATTCAGAGCTATGATATGGCTACTAATTAGAAAAATAAATTCTAAAGCATATGTACAAGTTTTGCCATCGTAGCTTTTGGAAAAAGAGGTATAACTTGTTTATTTGGCGTCGCAGCTCATAACGAGATAGGCTATGTAAATAAATCGATTTTTGGGTGTGAAAGTGTGAAATGACAAGATTGGCGGGTCAACCCCACCTGAGGATGACAGGCTGTCTTTGGTTTACTTCAATTGGGCCATACATAAGCAATTTGGCCGATGCATTCCCGGAAGCACCGTCCCCAAGTTGGTGTGAAATCGAGCCTAGCTTAAGTTGCCATGACAGACATTATCAGAGTTGAACTGCATTCTTGTGACTTAATAGAAACATCGCAGGGCCAAGTTATAAATCTGGCTTTGTCCCAATAGGAAGCGATGAACAGCATCTGATCGAACTGCAGGAATTGTTCTCAACATGTGCTTATAATGTAACGTCCACTTTTGTCATTTTTATGTGCATATAAGAATACTAGCAGATATAACTGGAAGCTGAGTGCAAGCAAGCTTATGTAAAAAAAAGTTCGAGGTGACTTCAGAATTGTTCCGTTCTGCTATGCACCTAAAATTACAGTTTGTAATGAAGTATAACTCTAGACAACTACATAGAACTTTATTTCATTGAACCACTATTTTATGATTAGAAGCTTGTTCGAAAGGATCCGTGAGCTTGAAGGAGCAGGAATTGTCTTGGAGAGATGAGAATTGATTCGTGTGAAATTATCTAAATTCTGCGAATCCGTGTGTCGCCAGAAAGATAGACCTTCGTTTAACTAACCCCTAGTGTAAAAACACACAAATCCTCCTTCCGTCCACGGCGAGTCCAGCTTACGAATCCCTCCCATTCACCCTTTAATACGAAATGAAAAGTTGAATACATGAAATTATTAAAGAATTCTTGGATGTCCAGCTTTTAATCTTATAATAGAAGGCTCGTTTGCTCACTATTACGGTGGACTTACTGCAAGAGCTCGCCCGTTCTCTTCGTGGCTCGTGGCATACGCCGACCCTCGTCCACTGTCCAGGCTAGTCGCGCTATTTCGGTTGCTCTGGCTACCACCGGCACTGCTACTACTGCTACTGCTACCACTACTACTACTTGCGCTGCTACTGCCACTACTTGAACTGCCGCAGCCCGTAGACAGAACGACTGGAGCTCCGGTTGCCCGTTCTGCTGTGCCAGAAGCTAATCCGACAGTCTGATCGAATGCGCCCGGTGGCCCGGAAATGGATCCGCCCGGATCAGGGAGGCCTGTTGCGCTGGGCTCCTTTGAAAGAGGGGTCGGGCCAGAAAGTTGCGAAGAGTCAAAGTGATCCGAAGTGGTTGACGCTGAAACGAGTTGGGGCGGAGTGGGTGGTGGTGGTGGCAAAGGCAGATGCAACGAAGAGGTGGCAGAGGCCGAGGAAGTGAGTGCATGGTGCAGGGGAGACTGGGTCTGCGAAACAGCCAATGGAGTTGCTGGCCCAGGGGGACTAGGCAAGGGGAAGACAGAAAGGCGCCTGTCAATAACCTCTTCATTGGAAGGACCTCCGGGGGAGCAAGCGAGTGAGCCAGGTCGGAGTTCAATCAGCGAAGCACGATTGGCAGGTGCCGATGGACCCATTATGCATGCGCTGTTGCTAGCCAAAGGGGTAGATGGGGGCCCCGCTGAGCCAGCTAATGAAGAAAGAACAGATGAAATGGCTGTAGAATGGGCAGTTTGTTTGGCCTCGGCATCAGTCGACTGCAGATTTTCAGAATAATAGGACTCTGTCTCAGAACCGGATTCAGATCCAGAGCCTGATGCCGATCCTGAATAGCTGTACTCGTCCTCTTCGTAATCGTCTCCAGTTGCGGTCTCGGTTGCAGTAGCAGGGCCTTTCTGATGAAATACTTTATTAACTATCGGACACTGGATACTAGAGGTGCTGACACTCGGAGTTCCGATCTGTCCATCCCTTTTGAGGGGCCACTGTACAAGAAAATAATATGGTGGAACAGATTCATTAAAATCTTTCGGGAGGAATCCCAATCCTATTATGATAAAAATAATACTGTTAAAACGCAAACGTGTTGTCCTAATAAATAGGGTTGGATAATAGCTCTTACCATTAAGTATAAGGCTAACGGGAAAATTGCAATAGGAATCTAAAACAATTAACTCTACTAGCAAAACCTTATATTAACTATATTATGTCTATGATCTATTGCCAAAAATTTTATTAGTATTATTATTGCTAGTAAAAGCAAGTATTCAGAAGCGTTAAAAAGAAACAAAGATACTATTCTGTAGTTTTACTTTAAAATATCTATATCACACAAACTGAGACATGTTAAAAGTATACCTGGTAATTGTGAAATTAATCGAACATTAAAGATGGCTAATGGGGGCTCATCTACCATTGGAATCGAAAGTAAGGTCATTTGAGAAAATCTTATTCTCACCTTTGCAGCTGGTTCCTACAGAAAAATGCAAAGCAACTTAAAAAGCAACCAAAATATAATAATCGTATTATATGCGAAGCAAACGAATGAATGTGCACCAATTGTTCTTGAGAATGTGTGCCTCAAAACTACTATACAGAAATGTGAAATAGTCTTAGAGAGAGTTCATAAATTATTTAAACAAGATTTTGCCAGTGGAAACTATCTAGATGAGGAAGTTCAAAATCGATCAAGGATGGAAATAAAAAGCCTGTGGTAAAAATGTGATTATCATCTACGAAATAAGGATAAAAGACTCGGTGATAAAGTTTTACAAATGGCTCTCTTGACTGCAATAAAAACATAATTGAAGAGAAAAATATCCAGCATACTTTATGAAAGAAGGATATACTTACGCCTACAGATGACCTAAACTGTACATTAAGCATAAATTTGATGGTCAATCCCAGCAAGAAGATTCATGACCGCTGTTTCTAATCTGTAAGTCTCAAGAAGTTTCACTGCAACTTTCTAAAGAGTAAACTGACCAAGCTAAATGGAGTAGTGCACGAAACACACAAAGAGACTGGAAGGGCCAGCGTGTTTGTGCAGGATTTCATTGATAATCCTTGCAGAATTACACTATCATCAACGAGAAAAATGCTACTCTAAAGGTATATAAAGCATAGTAGTACTATCACCATTTTCAGATTGTGGGTCCTTAGAAGCATAATACCTAACTCTAATAGTGAACCCCCTCTGGATGCTGCCGAAGCGACGAGACAAGAACTGAATATGAATTAGTTAAGTGTATTTGGGTCGTGAAAGTAAAAAGACGATTCATTGAATGAGAAAAGAGAATATGGGTTAGATTTAATGTGAATGTAATGTAATCTTAAAAGCAATCACAGTAAAAAGAATTCTTATGGTCGAATAGGTATAAAGAAACTTTCATCCTTTTGTTTTCTAAGATAAATATTCCCAAAATATACTCCTGAAAGAATTCTTTCCTTGTAGTGGTTGGCCTGGAGCGTCCAACGTGAATAGTTGGTGTGAGCAAAGTTACCTCTAGGAGGTATGAAGACCAAGATGGTGTGGCCTTTTGTGTGGTCGCAGTCTCCTTTCGTTGTATAGAGGTT